CAAAGCAATAGAATATATAATTAGCTATCAAGTTTGTTATTTTTTTTTTTATTCTAATTACTTTTTTTTTTTTTTTTTTTTTTTTTTTCAAGAAAATTTTGATCTTCTTCATTTCTCATTGTTAAAGGTTTTTTAAATATGCAGTTGATATATATAAAATTCCATACACCATGACTATATTCTTATATGTACTTGATGTCAGTGTTCAATTATATTATGTGAGTAATTTACAGTTTAATATCGCATATTGTCGACTAATATAATTTTCATTGATATCTTCCATTTATTGCGATTGTTTATTTTTAAACAAAAATTATTAAGATTACAAATTAGATGTCAAGAGAAAATCTGGTTTTCATTTATTGAAAAAAATTTGTTTTATTTGCAACAGGTTGTTTATATGCTTCAACAACTGCAGAGCATCCATAAATTGTGCATCAATGTAATATTGCTGATCGGTAAATTTTGTTTTTTATTCTTAGTCACTTACTTAGGACAGAATATAGAAAATCATAGTAGCGAAGTTTTCGAAAAATGGTACGTATTTTCAATTTTATTATAATATAATCTAGTATAGAATGTATATTTGAAATTATATTATATATAATTTATATGTTAATATATTCGTGATATATTCTTTAAAGGATCTATTTTGGAACATAAAACAAACATAAAAATTAATATACAAAAATACCGGTTGATATATAAAATAGGCTCATTTTCTTTTCTGTTTTCATTTTATCAACTTCAAATGATATAACATTTATTAATATTTAAGTAATACAATTTATATATATTTTTTTTTTTTTAGATTTATTCTACAAATTATATATAATATGTTATATTAACATTCTATATATTATCAATTAAACGAATAATTATGAATAAATTTCGTTATAATTTATTATTTAACCCTTTCAATGTAAGAACTTCTTAGTATTCAAATGTTATAAACAAATTACAATAATATTATTGTAACTAAGTATTTTATATTCGAAAGTATATGTAAATAAATAATACTGTAAAATAACATCACAAAACAATAAGAAGAATATCAATATATTAAGAACGATAGTATAAAAATGAAGAAATTGCAAGAAATTAGAGAGTTTTTGTCATTTTTGTATATAAAAATGGTTTTATGTATGTTTATATATAAATTCGTAGCATTAAAAGGGTTAAATATACTGCACAAAATATATTCAGTCTTATGAATTGAATTTTTTGTATGAAAAGTTATGATAGTCTATGGTATACTGCACCAGTAGCTACAAGAAGATTATTATTGATTATAATGATAAATATCATGAAACCATGTCAATACGAAATGTTTGGAGGATTATTTAAAGGCAACATCGAAGGTTTTTCAAAGGTAATTAATTCAAATATCATTAAATGTTTTGAAATAACACCGAGGAGAGATGTGATAGAACAGTATAGACCAGTATTTCTTAATTTTTTCTGAATTATGGAAAATAATAGATTGCTAAGAAAACTTTTAAAAATTTATATCAACATTTTTATCTTATTAATAAGGGACCTCATTTTCTCTAGAATAAAGAAATTTAAATAATTATGTATATAAAATAAATAAATATTCAATTAAAAATAATTCTCTATAAAAAAAATGTTTCACGAATCAATAGATTAGGAACTACTGGTTTTAAATTATATATTTACAACTATAACAGTCAATTTAGAGAATAAAAGAAAAAACAAAAAAAAAAAAAAAAGAAAAGATAAAAAATATAAACGTTTAAATTCTAATTGTCTTTTTCAGATCATTCGCGTATGTATCTCGTATTTCATGAGCATATATTCGATACAATAATGAACATGTTGAACATTTCATAACAAACTGCGTGTATTATTGAACTCAAAATATGTTTACCGCACCATTAATTTGTAATAATATTAATAAATAAGCATAATTTATGCAATATTATATAGCGTGATTTATGAATTTCTTTATGATTTTCACATTTAAACCATGACATCACCAAATTCATCATGAATCTTATACCATATTATTACTATTATATCACTATAAATACTTTTTCATTCTTTTCTAAGAGAAATTTTCTGACTAATCTATTCAGAATTCTAAATAATAACAGCAACAAATGCTAATTGAATAATAAAAGCAAATATGGGAATTCGATGAATAATTCAATCATAAAAAAAATCGTAATAACGTAAGAACAATGCTATGGAGAAAATTATAGATGACAAAATTAACCAAATAAATTTGAAATTTTAAAATCCATATTAAGATACTACTATTGTTATCCATACTATTGTTATTTTTATTCTTAATTGTCTCTATTATTCTACCTGTTATTCTGTATGATCAATAATGAAAAATTTTGGTTTAGCTATCAAACTTAGCAGATATCGAAAATGATAAGGATGTAATAATCCAAGAAATAATGAAAGAACAAAATAAACCCTCAAATTACCCTTATTCCTCTTATTCTATATAATCTTGTTTGTAGCATTGACAAACTCGTCGACAAACACTGCAAGCACAGGAACTAATGTTTTAATAAAGTTAATTTTTATAGCTTTAAACATTGATAATGGTTTTATGGCAAGTAAGTAAGTTTCAAATTTCAAGCATTTATTTTTATACTTTCTTTCAACATTGCCAATAAATAATATACAATGTATATTAGATTCAATAGAACTTAAAGTGTTAAGTCTCTATTTCTATGTCCATAATTTTTTTCTCAACATTATGCATCTAGCAGCACATCTAAACAAGTTGAACAGCAATGATCTATAGGAATTATATTAGTCCTGTTGGTGAGAATAGGCTACAACTTGTTGCATGGTAAGAGAATGAATGACGATTATATATGAAATGATTGAAACGATTATATAAAGCAGATAAGTGGAAAAAAAATTGAGCATTAAATTTCTATAAGACTTCAAACGCAAAAGCAGAATTAGTTTAAAATTAAGAATGAAAATACACCCAATTATTTATTCCATAATTTTCTGATTAAATATTAATCAGGATGACGATTAAACGTTATAAAAATTGCATATCAATCGATCAATGCAATTCTTTTTCTTTAAAGTGAATTTTATAAAATTAAGTAACTTTAAAAACTATTTAATGTTATATCATCTCTGGTTTTTCTCCCAATTACATTAATGTTTCAAAAATTAAAGATGTTCAGAACATAAAGTGTCCAAACATTGAACAAATAACACAGAATGATGCTGCAAAGACAATTTTTGAGAGAAAAACTTGATAACCATTCGTTTTGTACATTTAGAAACAATTTGGCGTGGCTGGAGGCCTGAAACGACATTTCCAGCCATGTCAGTTTCAATGGCAATCAGCATCCTATCTGAGAAGAATTATTGGAACGGACTTATGAATGGCATAAGAAATTTTCTTTAGATTCAGGGGACTCCATAGCATTATTGGACACTTGTGTGCCCCACTGAAGACAAGCAAGCTCACGAAATGAATATAGAAAAGGTTTTAAAAGATACCAATCTTTGAGAGAGTCTTTAAAAACCTGCAAGAACTACCAGAAGGCATACGAATTTTCAGAAGTCTTTGAATTTAGAATTTTTTTCGAATTTGTAACTTCGAACCTTAAGAATAGCTTTAAGTAAGAACCTTAAGAAGTTTAAAATAATTATTTTCATATTTCATACAATTAATTTCTTTAGTGGTCATCCGAATTTTCGTTATAAAATAATACTATTATTTAAAGATTTTTTTTTACATTGTTTATCTTGTTTATCCGTGAAATTAATGTATTTATGTAGCTCTATTTTAATACCTTTACTGTTTTAATAGATATAAAAAAATGAAAAAAAGTTGTTTGATTTATTACATTGAATATTTGATGATGTTTCTTCTTCATAATCATTTTTTTATCATATATACTATTGTGATGAATGAAAAGTGACAAATTTTAAATATGCATTTTAAATACGTTGATCTTGAAATAATTTCAAATGAAAAATTCATAATAATTTGAATTATATATTAATTTAATTATATATTATTTTCTGATGAATTAACATTTACAAATCATGAAGAAGTTAAGACATAATATTCATATTATTGATCTACTGAAAGTCTCAAATAATTAAGATAAATGCAATCATCAATATTCATGTCAATATATGTGAATATGTGCGGTATCAAAAATTGTTGGCTCATTTGTTATTAAAAAAAATTTAAAATAGATTTTGAGTTTTATCAGAGTTTTTAGTATCCTAGAAAAGACAAAAAATTATGAATTTTCGAAGAAGAAAAAAAAATCCTTTATTGGATTCCTAGAATTACTATTAGATCTCTAAAACTTTATTAATACATTATTATTTTATGAACAATGAAGAAAAATTCAAAGTTCATACTAAAAAAAAAGTTTTATATATATATATATATATAAGTTATAATTAACTATAATATATACTTTATATTATTTGTGTCTTATAATATATACTTTTTATGTGGCCCAAGATAGTCTCTGCACAAAATTCAATTATTTTTTATTTCTCAAAATCTGTAATTATTTTTTATTTTATTTTTTTTTTAATATAATAAATATGTATTAAAATGATTAAAAATATACATATTTTCAGATATTAATTTAAATATTAGTTAAATTTAATGATAATTAATATGTTAATTATTTTAAAAAATAGATCTTACTCAAAATTATTCTATCTTTAATAAATAATCTCTTATTATTATTATTATTTAAACGTGAAAAAAAAACAATGCGTAGTGAGAAAAACAAAAGAATAAAAAGTATCAAAATATAGAACTATGAAATAAATTTCTTCATTCAATAAATCAATCTTCTTTGTGTCACGGATTACATAGGGATTAATCACATACGAAAAAAAGACTCAAAATCTCGAGAAAGACGAAGTATTATCTTTTTCAGGGAAAAACTATTTATGATAAAGAAAAAGAAAAAAAGAATTCTATTCTTCAAAAGAAAATAAGAATATAATATGCAATATGATCTTCATAGATAGATTTTTTTTATTTAATAAATAATTTCCTTAAATAATTTACAGCTATACGAGTACAAACAGATTTTTCGTGGAAAGTGAAAATTGTCGTAATCTTATCCATAGTCTCCATCGTCTTCTGAATACTAAGAGATATAAATGAGATAAAAAATCAACTAATTGAAGAAAAATCTTTATCCAGAAACCGAATATTATCAATTTGAGGGAAATATTTAAAATAATACTGTCTACTGTTATTCTATAGATCAGAAAATAGAAATATTGTATATTTAAATGAAATATTTTATGGTTTATATATATATTGACTAAAAACAAACCTTATTAAGAAATATTAGTTCAGCATATTATAGATTTATCATAGTGCATTCGTTTGTGAAAGAAGTAAGTATTAATTCCTTTTGATTGATTAATATTTGCTGATGTTTGCACCAGATGTATTGATTAAATTCTTGTAACTATTAGTTAAAAAAATCTACGTGAACTGATAAAAATTATGTTCCACGATTATATATAATTTTCAATGATTAAGGGCTCTAATTTGCTTTTAAGTATTATTATTTGATTATTGCTTGTTTAAATTCTGACTTCTTATATTAATATTTATTATATTTTATAGAAGTTAGAGTTAAAAGGAACGACATGGTTGATTTTATATATTGCAAAGTAACAAGAATCAAGTTTATCTTATTGGTAAAAAAAAGACTAATGAAAAATAATCATTCTCAAGTTATCAAATAGCTTGAAATGATTGAGCGAAAATGACTATAGCAAATAATTAATTTAGACATCCTTAAATTTAACAAATATATAATTTCAGGAATTGGAAAATTAATAAATCACTAGAATATGCAGAAGAAAATTATAATCAATTGGTTAATTGAAAACAATATTCTAGATTTAACAAATCTGAAAAAAGTTTTAAGTGTTAAGTTTTAATGAAATGTAAGGAATTAAAAGGATATGTTTTACATTTACTTAAATACATACATGATTTGAATGCAATAAAATTGATTTATGCATAAGAGAGTAAAATTTGAGAAAAAAAACTCTTTCATATTGATTGCCAAATAGAAAGATTAATTTATAATAAAATAGATTTGGTTACAACATTCGATTGAGAAAATTAAAAAGTATGTCATGTAGAAAAAAATAAAAAAACGATTTATGAAGATAGAAGATAAAACTTATTAAAAAATGCCACAGATTGAATATTGATATTCGGAGCATAGATTCTGAAGATGATTTATTTGATATCAACAAACTTGTTTTAAAAAATTGATACAATAAAAAATATTAATGAAATTATTTTTACTATTTATTATTTGTTAAAGTTGATGTTCGAATTGCTCAACTGATAGTATCCCATGGAAAGCTATATTTTTCAAACAGTTAAGTAGAAAAAAAAAATATTAAAAATCAAAGTTGAAAGGTATTCAATGAAACATAAATCTGGATAATTATATGTAGTGATGTATTTGAAAAATATAATTGTACTTTTTTTTTCAAACAGAATTTTGTATGATAATTTTGGCAGTCAATAGAAATTGTTGTTAATCTCTATAAAAAAGTATTAATACATTTTTACATACTCTAAATCTATTGATTTTTAAGTTATTAAAGTTAAAAAGTTAGTAAATTATTTAATGTACTATAATTCTTCTAACATATATAATATTATTAATTGGTCAAAGTTTCAATCTTCTCATATCTTTATACTTTAGATTAATGTATTTTTTTTCTTTTTTTTTTTTTTTTTAATTATTATAATTAATCATTTGGCAAAAACCAATGTGTGATTGATCTCGGTCATAATCGTTCATCAATCCATCAATTTGATTTTTTCTTGTACTAATAATACATGCACATTTATATATGATACATACATTTTTTCAATGCTGTTCAATACTCAACAATCTTAGATATCAGTTAGATTATGATCAAATTAGTTAGAAAACTAAAATGATCAAACAAATATGTATATTCCATATTACATATTGAATAATAATATATAATTAATAATATACATAATAATATATATTAACATATATAAATTATATATAATATATAATTTTATATAAATGTATAAAATTTATTTATTACTCAAACAAACAATTCTTTAAACAATTTTCAATCTTGTTCAGCCATATATAAAAATTCGAACAAACGTAATCAGCGTATATTTATAATAAATTATACGAGAAATATGTAATATCTTTTTCAAGATTGATATTTTAGAATATGTGAGACGAAGTTTCATAAAATGTCTATTTTGTACTTAGATAAGATGTATATATATATGGATATTGGAATTGTATAGTACATTTTTTAGAAACTAAAACTGACTATATATATATGGGAAAAAATTATTCAAAATATTGATTTACATATAATATTTAAAAATTAATGAAATCAATGAAAAAGTAATTTTTTTAAAACTTGGAAACGATTTGGTCGGTTTTAAACTCACAAATTTATTAAAAAAATTTTTTTATATAATATATAATAAATAATAGTAAATTTTTTAATAATTCTCGTATCTTTCCATTCGATTCAATATTAAAATCGTTGACACTTTAATTCTTCTTTGCATTCTTTAATGACTTTGATTATTCCATTTTTGATTTTCATTTTGACATTTCCTATAAAATTCATTTGTAACTTTTGTTATTATTTTAGCTAAAATAAAAACAGTTTCGATTCTACATTTGAAAGAAATGAAAAATTTTATTTTATATGAGAAATTGTTACTTAATACCAAGTTTTTAATTCAAAGTTACATTGAAATTATCAATATAATAGATCATTGAGTTTGTTTTGAAAATGCTTATAAAACTATGCGAATAAAAGTACATAATGCTATTTTAAAGAATTGATATCTTGATTTTTTTATTCAAATAATATATTTTAAAGATTTATTAATTTTCGAGAAACATTTTTTTTTTCATTTCAGAATTAGAAATGCTATGAAACATGCTATTTTTCAGAAATCATACGATAAAATTTTAGTTGCAATAATATGCTTATTTTTATCGAAAATCATTGGCCAGTGTTTCTTATTAATAACTCATTAATAAAGATTTTTGCAAAGGAAAATATTGCTTGAAATTACTTTTTATGGATATCCAGATATTTTTAAGACATCCTGTTTAATAAATATAATGTATATCAAATTTTATAAACAGAAATAACAGATTTTAAAATTAAATAATTATAGTGACCAACACTGATGATCGTGGCTGAAGCAACATCAATACTTGTTGTTCGATCAATTGAAATATCGAATTCTGAATTCTTTTGTTTCTTTTGGATTGAACTTGAATAATTCCCGATTGCAATTGAATTGTTGTGACATCTTTGCTTAATAATTCAACTCAATCATTCGACTCGAAAAATTAAACAATTACATATTGAATATTCAAATATTCATCAAAATTGTGAATGATTTCTTGATTAAATTTGTATTGCAAGTAATGCAATAGAGCTTTTTATTAAATCATAATATTACATGTCAATTCGAACAAAATAGAGTGAAAGTGCGTGCTAATATATGTTTTTTAATTGTAATTTGACCTAGATATTTCTATTATTACTCAGACACCACAATAAGGTACTTTACGACTCTGAAATATGCAGACTGGACCAAGATACCCGTTCTGGCCTGTAATGCCGACACTAGTGAACTCTAGCGATATTCCACAGTTGTGTCAGCAAAATCCAGGGGATTACTGTCGGCATGGATGAGGATCCGAGTGGCGGCGCTGGTGTGGTCTCAGCGTTACCAACCGAATTCTTCGAGAGGGCAACAACATCCATTCCCTTCGAGAATGAGGCAAGCAGTGGAACAATCCCCGCCGTGGAAGACCACCGTGGGGGTTTTAGCCGGTAAAAGTCCGGCACTACCTCGGTCACCTCTTCCAAGAGGCCGAGATGTCCTATGAGGATTTCCCCCACGTTAAAAAAAAAAAAAAATAATTTCTATCAATCTGATGTTGGCAAAAAATTCTCCAAACTTTGCTCTGCAAGAATAGATATTTATGTATTATAATATTGATGTAAGAGGAACAGATCAAGAGATTGGTAATAATAAATTTGGAAAAATGAGAAATCTAATTTTTACGTACTGTTTTAGATTCTGAAGTGACATGTTAAAATTGACAACGAAAGATGCGCAATTCTGGAAATTCGAAAAATTGTGAAACTTTGAGAGTATATAATGCTTACATAGGTATGTATCACGTAAATTTTTTCTATTGTCCGAAATCACTTTAAAGTGGTGAAATCAACTCTTGAAAATTTAACTATTTTTATAATATAAAAAATATAACAAATAGAAAAAAATTTTTCAGACAAAAATTCTATAAATTATTGAATACTTTGTATATTGTAATATAGACAATTTATGCAATAATTAATGATAATTTAATTCTTAAATATATGAAAATTCAAATATAATATAATATTTAAGTAATAATTCAAAAGATTCACTTTTTATTAACAATATATTAATATTGCATAAATTTATTAATATAAGTTTTCTATAAATTTTTTATAAAATAAATATATTATATATTTAATATATTTTGTAAGATTCAGAATTTTACAAAAAAACATTTTATTCATCATTGTTTATAATAAAATACAATATTGAATTAATACTATATTAAACAGATAATAAATATCTATTTTTAATTATTCGAAATTTTTTATTATAATAAGTATAATTTTAAAACTATCTAAATAGTTACAGTAAAAAATTAGTTTTGGTTAATTATATATTTACTAATATTAAATTCATTTTTAATATATATATATATATAGAATATTAGCATATTCGCGAGATAGTTTGATTGTAAACATAAAAACATAAATACAAAAATGTTCATAGAAATTCATTTATAAAAAATTTAATTTCATATTGAAAAAAGTGAAATGAAATGAACAGTATATGAGACAGCAATATAATGAAAATAGAATGATTTTACTTCCATTTCATCTCGTTTAAAATGTCAACTGTTTATAAATGAATAAGCCTCAAGCAAGAAATAAACAATAAGAAATTTTTGTATTTTGTTTTTAACTTATAAAATTGATTCTCTGAAAAACTATCTCACAAATTTAATACTTTATATATATATAATAACTTATATATAACTATATAATAGCATATATAATAACTTAACATGGCACGCAGTTGTTACAATTTAAAATTCCTTTGTAGTAATGCAAATTAAGCTTTAAAGATTGAAAAAGCAAAAAGTCTTTTTTTCATATATGTTATATCATCAATGTAACATAAAAATTAAAAATATCTATTGTACATAAGTAAAGTAAAGTGTACTATTGAATAAATGTATTTGATACATGTAACAAAAAATTGTATCCAATATGGAATGTCGAATTTCAATAAATAAATAAATAATAAATTCGAAAATCTATTAATTCTTTATAAGTAAAAAATGATCATACTGATAATTAAATACTATATTCACTATTGGTAAATAGATACATTTATTTTTTTTATATATATTTAAATATATCTGGAAAGTGAATTGAATAATTAAATATTTTTATACGATTTATTATTAAGTATTCTTATTGTTAATTGTTTAAAAAAAATTATAATATATTAAAGTTATTCTTTTTTTTAGAAAAGATTTCAAATTAGAAAATTCAACAAATTATGAAATTCTAAATATATGTGACATTAGATTTCTTTACCAACTAAATTTATTTTTATATTAAGACATCCAAAAAACTAAGTATTTTAAGAGACATAGAAATTTAAAAGAACGAAAGATATTTATATATCTTATTTTATGGCTAAATAATAATTAATTTTTTAAATTTTTATTAAAAAATTGGCATTAGAAAAAGTTTATGACAAGATTAAACGGCTATTTTTGTAAAGCAAAGCAGTACCACTATCTGCGTGCTAACACATTAATAAATTAATTTAGTTGTTTCATCTTTTACATTCCTCGATAATAATTAATTTATCGTAAATTTTAAAAATCATTTCCAAAACCATGTAAAACAGTGTTCGAAACCTTATCTTAGTTTTCGCAATAACAAACTTAAACTTTGTAAATTTTTTCCATTGCCACGAATTTGTTATTTACTTTCTTCGTAAGTATGATTGTATTCTTCTTCATTCATTTCGAATTATCAATTTTCTTTTTTTTTTTTTAATTTTTTTACAATAACTTAATTTCTTCCTTTCTCAGTTTCATTGGAAAGAGAACAAATTTCTTTGTCTTTGATATATTTTTAAAATTAATGTCCATATTATTATATCAACACATTTATCTTATTTAATACATATCATAATAAAAGTTTGTACAATTTCTTTTCGTTGTTATACTATTAACAACGCATAAAAAAAAAAAAGAACGTCAAAACAGATTTCAGTCGCAAGTAATAATTAATCCAATTATATGAAACAAAAAATTCCGAATTCACTATAAAACGAAATCGAGAAAAAGTGTATCCATTTACAGATCTTTAATCATCAGATCTGTATAAATTAGGTAGTGACGGATCATAAGGAGTTGACGCGAATCCGACGTATTTGTTATTTTTTTTATGATGAAAACTACCAGTTCGCGGGTCAGTTTTATAATAAATCACCCTTCTAATGCCAAATGGATCGATATAACCAAAAGAGCCGACATTAGTTCCAGTTGAATCTTGTTCCTCTTCGTGATATTGCCTTTTCAAGTAATATTGAAATCCATTAGCAACGTTATACGTTCCATCAAACTCGGGAAACTCTGTTGGATTATTTCGTGATGCACTGCTCGTACGAATTGTTGATAATTGGAAATGCGGTTGATTAACTGGCATTTTCGGTTGGCGAAGAATATTATAACTTTGTGAATAATTATTCGAGTTGCGTGGTCCCGAAGGCGAACTTGTTGGATTCATATTGTAATAATAATCATTAGAAGTAAATATAGGAGATTTAGCTTGAGGTTTGGCAGTTGTACTGGCGTAATACTCGGAATTGATATCATTGTCGAAAATTGGAACAACGTGCTCTGTTTTTGATCTGAAAACGAACAATTATTAATATTAGCTGTTATTGACGAAAAATAAATAATAAATAAGGCTTTTAATTATAGATTTCTTTATTTTATCAAGAAACGAATTTAATTAAAATTAAAAAAAAAATGTATTTTATTTATATCGAAATATGATGTTTTTATTATTTTTTGTAACATTTCAAAAAATAATCAAGTAAAATAATAATTTGTAATATTTATATAAAGTATATTTTACTTTTATTAGATTCAAATCTTTCAATTGTTTCAATATTTATTAATTATATTCATAAATATTTTAATATTAAATATTCCGATATTCAACAATTGGATATATTTACATTTTATAAATTTTTGAAAATTATTTTTAAATTTAATTTTAATCACAAATTTTTCAAATATATAGAAGATAATAGTACACATTAAATTTAATTATAACATATGTTTAACTTTATCTATATCTTTGTTTATTATGAAACAAATGAATTCGTTTTTTGCGTTCTTGTTAAATTTTATAAATGTGAATAACTTATTTAATTAATGTAATAATATTATTAAAACGATATTAAAAATTACTGCATAGTATAAATTATACTTATCATTTTTAAGCAATAGCAATTTTTTATAAAAGTTAAATATTATTTTTTCTGCTTCTTAATTCTATGATTTTATAATTTTAAACGATTTAAATTATTAAAAATTATTTTGATCTAATTATCAATGATTAAAAATACTTTTTAATATTATTATATATATATATTTTTGTACATATTAATTGTTCGTATTTATAAAATAATAAACTATAATAATATATTCTATCGAAAGAAACAGTTGACTTCATTTTTTCTCATATAATTAACAAAAATATCGTTAAATTTAAGCATGTGATAAAGAATATTATTCTGATCAATTATAACATATAATAATCACATGCACATAAAATATGATAAATGTAATTTTTTAATTAATAATAACTTAATCAAAACATTTGGTAACTCATTCTGAATAAAAAAGATTATATGTATACACTACAAATCTTTTTGTGTATCAATTTATTAAAAATAAACGGAATGAAACAAGAATTCATTATTTTTTTATATATTCCTTTATATTTTTATGTGCACGTTATAATGAAAATATTGTAAATGTCTTAAAATCGTAGAATTTAATGTCTGATAGCATCACTTGCATTATATTCTTTAGATTATATTTAGATTATTTAAGATACAAAGTTTAGTCTCGTATAACAGAAGAGTGGTTTTCAATGACACAATTCAACGTAGATACATGTCTCCATATATGGACTTCAATTTGGAAGATTCTGCAAACGTATCACGAGAGCAAAAGAATAACTTTGTAAGACAACGAAGGATAATGTTTATACCGGCATGTGTCATTTGAAAAATTTGACTATTGTGCTTTTGGCAACCAACATGCTCTGTGATTGGCCAATATTTTTTTCATTAATAACTTGTTAACAAAGGTATAACGAAAGTTTTTGCAAAGAATAACATTCTAACATTTTTGGGACACCTTTGATATTGTCGATTATAGTCATTATAATTTTTAACATCATATTGATTGATGAAAATTTAGGAATTATTTATTACATTGATTACAAAGTGGCTTAGAGTTGTTAGAGAAACTCAAGGAATATTAAAAAAATTAACAATATGCTTTGTGGCTATGCAATGAAGAATAGCCATTTGAGAAAAGATTAAAATAAAACTTTATGTTACACAGTTTATTTTAAGTCTGTTTCATAAAAGATATATTTTACGTTTGCCTCATAATTCTTTAAAGCAAACTTGGGTTTGAATATTTTATGGCCGATTCTTAAACTTTTGTATAAAGATTTTGTATACAATAAATTGTGACTCACTTCTGTTCTTGGTTAGCAAGGATGGAATGATATTTAATTCTAGAAGTCTGAAGATTTCTGGATTGAGAACTATTATATCTTGCTTTCCAATTACCTTTCGAAAAAACGAAATTTTCGATTTTATTGGGCACAGAAGAAATTAAAAATTCTTTAAAGAAAGAAGAAACATAAAAATTGTTTTTACCAATATTCTAGAAATGCTTGACTTAAAAATATTGCAAGCTTAGTTTCAGAATGGAACAATATCATTTAATTGTTGTCATCCTGATTTAATCTTCTTTTTGTTAATTTCTAATAACAATTTTTATTGCAGTTTCCTTTTTGTACGAAATTACTAGAAATTAATTTTATAGAATTAATTCTTTTCTAGAATTATTCATTTTGGATCTTATTTCTGTTCGATTAGAAACACGAATTGTAAAATATCTATTGAATATATAGAAATAATCTTCAGATAGATTCAAATTTCGAAAACAAAAAGGAAGGAAATATATCGAATGCTCAAATGTTCTTTTTTCTTTCGTCTTTTAAAAATTATTAAAATGATAATTTTATATTAAAATATTACTATAAAATGATAAATATGTATAACAAAATTATAATAATGATAAAATTAATTCAAAAAGTTGTATCTATGTTTTAATAATCATTTTGTTCAAAATGACAAAATATTTTTTCAACTCACAAATAGAAATGTATATATATAGAGTTTTATTTTTCTATTTTCTTGATACCATTAATCGTGATTTATTAACTTCATATTTTTATAATTTATTTAACTTTCAACACTTTTCAGTTTTTGAAATTATCTCCTGCTCAATATTGATATTTAACATTTTTTCTTTTTGGTTACACATAAAATGTTGACGCATGGAATATTTATTTTATACCACAATATTTGGATAATAGAAAAAAATATCAGATTATAAGAAAAATTACTTATGTATCATAATCCATTTATTTTAATGAAAATATATTGTTCAAATTTGAATATAATATTGAATATTGTTGGATAGAACATTCAGATGCTATACATAATAAATTTTCAAATACATTCAAAATAATGATCATCATATTATATCATTAAATCACCAAACAATTTATCGCATAAGATGAAACTAAATTATACAAAATATACAGATACGCATACACGATCATTCAAATATATTTTAGTATATTTAAAAATTTAAATATAATTTTTTACAAAACTTTTCAAGACCAAGTTTAAAGTCAAATATAAGTATACATAATAAAGATTGATAGTACGTTTTATTTCTATTTAATACTTTCGCGGATGATTCGAGTTAGCATGAAATAAAAATCATTAATATGAAAATTTCACTCTCAATAAAATTAATTTCAACATTTTATAAATAAAATCGTATAAAAATCTTTTAATACATTTTTACGTTTATACTATGAAAATATGTTCATATTAAAAAAAAAAAAAAAGAAAAAGATTATTTTAAAAGTCTGCTTTTGTAATACTTTTATATTCCATTAGGAGAATCAACTATTACGTTTATATTATAATAGTTGGTGATCCATCAGAGAATAATAGATATACTGCATTATGCAATATATTTATAATTATATTTCTAAATTTATAAGAATATAAATTAATAATAATACCTGAAAGGATTTGGTGGACGCCTTGGTTTTACAAGAATTCCAGTTTGAGGTGGTATTCTTTTCACTTGTGTTACCGCATCATAAATAGGTCTATTATTACCCACGTATACCATTTTTGATCTAATTATAAAACATAAAAAATTGTATGTAATTGATAAATTTAATAAATAAAATTACGTAATAAAAGTATGTGATTGTATTTAAATCTGTTATTTAATTTACAACATATGAATAATAAATCTTTTCTAATATAATATTATATAAACGATATAAGTATATTATTATTATAAATATGATTACTAAAAATTATTACTAATAATATATTATATTTTACAATAAATCATAATAATTTCTTTTTAGTTGAAGATGATTTATTTAATTTTTTTCTTATTTTACACGGATTTAAAAAAATAATAACATAATAAATATTCTATATTTTTAAAATATTTAAGTTAAATAGATTTTTAGAACATCTTTTATAATTATGTACTTATTTACTTATTTGTAATTACCTTAAAATTCGAAATCCGTTGTTGTCTGCTATATAGTCTTTAAGTCGTAAATATCCAAGAGGATCTAACCAGCCCTCTGTACCAATAACTGTTCCATCAACTAGTCTTTTTTCTTTTCTGTATTGTCCATTTAATGTTTGAAAACGAAAGTACCTTTCAGGTCCTTCGTCTGTTTGAATGTGATATTGCGTATTTGGATCAAAATTCCAACCACTTTTCTCTGCTTGTAATCTACTGATTGATAAGCACAAAGTAAACGCCTGAAATGATAAAACAATATCATTTATTTTGAATACATAAAAATTATTTTATATCAATATGTTTGATGAAAATCAAACATTGAATTTATTTCAATTACATTGAAACATGAAACAGAAAAGACAAATAAAGTAGGATAATAAAATTTGAATGGAAAATTAAAAAAATATTAAATTATTATTATATATAACATGAATAATTTATAGTTTACAAAAACATAGAAAAAGTTTAGAAATAAATAATTAATTTTAAACACAAATACTTGCAAAAAGTATAATAAGAAAACAGATTCATGGGACAAAGTGAGTGAACAATAACAAATCTAGAGATCAAAAAAATAGACATCATGATAAAATGAAATAGTGAATAAAAGATTAATTATTTAAAATAAAAACATAAAAAAATAGATATTAAGGAATTAGAAAAAGAAAAACAAGAAAAATTGTTTATAATTGTGGAGAATACAAAAATCAAAATTAAAAAGCTCTTCCTTTCTTATTTATAGGAAAGAAAAGTTTTTGTATCCCTAAAGGGGATTTTTTCTGTAAGTTTCTTCTGTAAATTTACATTAATTGAAAATTGTAAGATTGTATTTAAAGATTCTTTTCATGAATGCCTTGAATGCATTACAAATTTATTAATTTTCTTTTATATTTTTATTTTTGATATAGGTATACAATTAAAAAATAAACTGAAACAAGGATAAAATAATATTGCTTCAATAATTATCAGGAATTTAGAAAGATGGTTAGTTTTTTATATTATGCAATTAATAGATGCAATTCGATCTCGAGTATCTTTTTCCTATCTACCATTTTTTTCTAATAATCTCAATCAGCGTCCAATTGTTAGCTATTTCAGCAATGAAGTTTGAAGAAGTTTGATGAAATAATACGTATTCAAATGTATACTTACAACAAAATTTTAACTGAACAATCTTCATATAAAATTAAACATTATAGAGTAATAAATAATAATCGTAATAGAATTTTATTCGAAGAAATTTAGTATAAAAATATCACCAATATAAATTAATTTGGGAAAAAAAAATATTATGCAGTAAGTAAAGTATATTTTTGGACATATATATATATATAATATATAATGTAATAATATGATAGGATGAAATGTAATTGATTTTGATTTTGAATTGATTATTTTTCTTTTTTAAATTCAGTAATCTCGTATCAGAATGAGAAATTGAATTAGGGTAAAATAGATGTAAAGTTTGTCAATTGAATCAATTCAACTTGCCTATTTTCAATGATTTATAGAATTCAAATTGATTTAAGTATAATATAATTAAAATAATATGTAATCTTGCAACATCGAATATTGAAATTTGTTATATATACTTTTTTGAAATAAGTCTTTTTGTTAATAATAAATTAAAAATTAGATTTGTCGAATAATATATAGATTTTAATTTGTATAATTAAAAATGATAAAATTCTTCCTTTTTAAAGCGATATAAGTACATTGCATAGTTACATTATACATTTATATTCACAAATATACATTATATATTGTATATTATATTCCATTAAAATTCAGAAATAGTCATTTGTATATTTTTACTTTTCGTTAAAGATATATAAGCGACATTTTATTGCCAATCGAGTGTCTCTCACTTTATTGCTATATTTATATAGATTTTTATAATTGTATTGTTAAGAAAGCATTATCACCAATCTATAATAAAAGATAATGGAAGATTTGTATTTAAATACGGAATAACGATAATGAAAATTCCATTCATAAAATATGAATTTATTATATATTTATCATCTTGTATAAATATATTGTTTTTTGTTAAAAGTCTAATGAAATGAACTATTGATGTAATAAAAATAAAATAAAAGAATATACAAAAGTTTATAAATATACGTATATAAAAATTAATTTCATTCTTTAGAATTATTTTTTAGAATATATAAACAGAATTATATAACTTTTAATACATTAATCCGTATAACTTATTAATTTTTGTAAAAAGATTTCGATAAAAAATTTTGCAAATATTTATAATATATATATAATCTAAAATTTATAAAATTTATTCATTTACTTTCAAGATAAGGAAGATAAGAAAATAGAAAATATCTTGTCTTTCAATAAAATATTATTAATATTCGTATATAGTCTTGTAATTTCACTATTATTGTTATTAAATTATTGATATTATCATTGTTAATATTGTTCATATATTATATATGGATCCATTCATTTTAAAAAGATAGAATCAACTCAAAAAGAAGATGTGTAAATAAAAGTAAATGCAAAAATACTTTTGATTGCATTGTATCGCTATAAATTTCAAAGATATCGTCAGGTTATAATTCAAGTATTTCTTTTGAAAAAAATTCTATTACTTTTCGAATTTATTTTATATATATATATATATGATCTGCTATTATATATCCTATATCTTTCTTTTCTTTTTTTTTTTTTTTAATTTTCTTTCACACTATTTAAACTTATAAATATCTGTATATACGTTAAAAAATGAATTTAACGTATTTATTATATTTATGATTTAAATAAGTGAGAAAGAAAAAGAAATAAAGATATAAAAAGTTTTGTGGAAAATAGCATGGCTTATTGATACTTATTGAATTTTTGGATTTTTTCTAATGTTATCTGTCGTTACTTTACAATACTTTTTTTTTTAATGATTTAAGATATTTACAATCAACATCCTATTAAATAATAAAAAATTTAAATCTAAATTCATAGCTCTTTAATGAATGGCAATCGGCACTTGCTTTTTAACACTTTTCCACTATATGATAAATCTTAATATTATATTAAAAAATCATTAAAATAACTTTTCGTAAATATTTATATGAAAAATAATTGCATTGAATGTCGAAAAAAAAAAATTGTACTCAAAAAAGTTAAATTTGACGAAATTTAAGATTAATTTGATTATTATTTGGAAAAAAAGATTTCTTTTTTTAATGAATTGCTAATAATATCTTGGAAGTAGGATCTCTCTTCTAGGAAGAAAAAATCGTTCAAAACTTCTTTCAAAAAGATGGATTTTCAAAAAAAGTGTTGAAATTTTTGTTTCCGAATAAGCTTTTAATTTCCAATTAAAATTTGCGAAAGAATTCTAGATAGCATATTAAATTCATTGAATTTGAAAATTAAATAGATATACTAATAATGATAATGATAACGATAGCGATAGTGATAGCGATAGCGATAGTGATGTTGATAGTAATAGTGATAATGATAGTGACAGTGATAGTGATAGTGATAGTGATAAAAATAATAATAATAATAAATGTTGATGATTCTAATAACTTTAATTTATCAGAAGGAAATAATAAGTGTAAACAAATGATATACAATATTTAATAAGTTTTTCGAATAAATTTCATATTGTTTTTACAAATAATTGTTTGTAAGAAACATAATATAATATAATATTAAATATATAATGATAAATATAAATTTTACAAATATCATAATTATTTCTAACAAATTGAGTTTGATGAAAATTTTGTATCTTCTGTATATAATCAGCCAATTATTTTTATCAGAAATTCGTTTTTTATCAAATAAATTTTAAAATGATTATAATAAATTAATTATATAAGTTGGCATAATAATATATAAAATATCTTATTATATTTTTTAAGATTAAAGAAGAATTTATTTTTATTATTTTTAAGAATATGTATAAAAAAATGTATGTATGTGAAAAAAATTAAATAATTTATTATATTTTTGATATAATATAACGTGATATTAATATGAAAACATACAAATATGAAATGTTATCGAATATTTTATTATCCATGCAATCTTAATTAGATTAACTGCATAACTTCTATATCTTAATTTTTTAATAGAAAAATGCATTTAGTATTTGCCTTTAGTATTGCATATTATTAATGATTAAAGAAGACTTACTATTGTAAAGAATAATGAGATCTTCAATATTGAGGACAACGGAAGCAAGAGAAAGGTAACAATAAAAATGCTATGACTATGGCAGAGATTGTACAGACAATACTTTAGTAGTTATTTACTGATTTGATAAAAAATGATTTATTATTAGACATCACAAAACAAATTATTTACAATAATAATCTCTTATATTTCTCAATAAAAAAAATCCTGACAATATAAGAAAATATGTGAAATTATAATTAATTTAACCACAACGATTGCACTTTTCAGTCAAACTGTATCGCTTTATAAATTAAATTACTTGTACGATAAAATTTTTTTTTACGCTATTCTCATTGTCAATTTTTATTATCAGAAAAATATAACAAAACTATTAAATTAATTGAAAATAATATTTCATTGGATGATTCATTCATTTTGAATTTTATAAATAATAATATTGCATTTTATGAATCTGATTATTTACCATCTGTTATTATAATTTATTTTATTAGATATTAATTAGTATTTCTTTATATTTACTAATAATTTTTCTAATCTCTTTTTTATTATTCCATACGATATCTAATTAAAATTGAATTTTACTTCGATATTTATATGTGTACGACAACAATAATTTTATTTATCACTATAGCGTTAATATTCATCATGAGTTCTTTCGTTTCTTATTTTGAATTACGGCCTTCACTATTTTAAATTGACATGCATAACACGTTGCATTAATTATTTGTATGTTTTAATCAATAGCATTTTATTGTAGAAATAGCGCGTAAATTCTTTTGTATACATACAAATGTAAATATATACAAATATATGTACATATATGTACATGTAAAATAAAATTTTTATTTCTAATAATATATATAATATACTGTAAAAATTGTCAATATAACATGTAAAATATATTATACATTACGTTATGTATATAAATTGTTATATTATAATATATTTGTAAAATATATTATATTTCGACTCTAAAAAGTCAAAACAAGCATAAAATTGATTGTCATTTTAAAAATTTAAAAAATTCAGACTTATGTATTAAATTGAATAAGAATTGTAAATTTGCTAAACAAAGTTAGACAATGAAAAAGTAATAGAGCTCTATAAGACAGCTCTAACTGCATATTATTCATTCGCTTTGTTTCTATTTTTTTTTTTATTTGTACATTTAAATTGCTTGTAACTTAATAAATGAGTTTTAACCAAGTATTTTTATATATGAATTTTTTTCGATTTTTATAATTTCTTCTGCTCTTTAAGATATTCCAATATTAAAAATATTTTAAAATATTAAGAAAAACTTAAAATATGATAATAATAATTAAAATTCCAATATTTACTTATGATAATTAAGAGATACTTATCATAAGTAAATATTGGAATTAAATATTATAATTTTAAAAGATATATAAAAAAAATAAAAAAAATAATGTACAATACTTAATATAATTATCAAAATTTTAGGAAAAGTACAATACACTATTTGTATATTTTTATTTTTTATATATCTTTATTTTCTATATTAAGTTTAGTATATTTTTTAATAAATTGTTTTTATAACAATTAAAGTAATGACTTAAATCGGTTAAAAATTGTGTTTTAAGAAAAAATACACTAGAATTTTTATATATTTTTATATTATTATATTTATATAAAAAGTAAACTAAAGTTGAAAAGTAGATTTTCGTAATAATTCGAAATATAATCTTTTATTTCATTTCTCTACTAATTATATATGATAAATATTAAATACAGATAATAAATTCTGTCAACATTGAATTTATTCATAAGAAGTGCTTCATAAGAAAATCCTGTCGTTTAATACAATTCTATTTAATTCTGTATAAAACAATTCTGTTTTATCGAAATTTATTAATGAAAAAAGTTTATTTAAATTGTATTAAATTTATTATTATCGTAGGAAAATTATATATTCTTATAGTTTTAATATAGTTTAATATAATTCCTTGATATACAGAATTAATAAGAATATACATATAAAAATATGAATATGACGAACAAATAAAATTAAAAATAATATCAAATTGTAATTATTTTTTGGACATGTTATATAATGTTATGCAGGATATTAAAAAATATGTAAAACGCTTCGGAAAATCAATTTTCGATTCTATACCGAAATAAATATTAAAAATTTACATTGAAATTTAATTTTACATTAGAATAATATAAAGATAGAATCAATTGATCAATTATGCATCACAATATCATGATCATCACTTGCTCTAATTAAAAAATTTAGAGAGAATGTATTTATATGTATTTTTTTCATATATATAATTGATTATATTATTTAGAATTTATATATAACACACGATATTGTATTAAGATATGTACGTTATTATAAAAACAAATATATGTGATTACTTTTTATTTCATGCATTCAAAATGATAATAGTATATGCTGTTTAAACTTTTCATTGAGAAATTCGATTAAATGAAAAATATAAACAACAACAAGCGATACAACAATATAATATTGTGATATCGATTAGCTAAGATTTAATAGGTTAACTAACTTCAAAAATAAGATCCAACAGATATTTTTGTATATAATTTCCTAAAATATCTCATATGTTTCTTAACGTATATCGTATATGTTAAAAATAATATTATGTTAATATATTAATGTGGCCTATTATAATTAAATATGAAATTATATAGCTTACCGTTAATAAATTCAAGTAGCTTAATATCCACAAAAACATAGTTATTATAATGATTGTAAAATTGAGATAGAATTGTATCACCGTGCTTTCATTATTTCATTCTTTTTCATTCTATTTATTTTTCTTTGTTGGGATCATATATAAAATTATATATAGTACATCTTTCAGTGATATTTTTTAAATAATAATAAATAATTAAATTAAACTAATTTTTACGATTAAATGACTAAAAATATTAATATTAAGCAATTTTGCTTTTAAACAAATCATACAAAGAATGAGACAAAATAACAAGTCAGAATTTATCTTAAAAGTATTATGAGAAATTTATTCTTTATAATTAAAAAACAAAAAATATATTTACTTTTCCGTAAAGTGGAAAAGTTAAAACAAAAATAATATTTTAATACACATATTCTTCATTTTTTTTTTCAATTTTATTCACTAATAAAAATAAAAATAAATAAAAAACAAAGAAATAAACGTATTATTATGTGTTACAGTGAATCACTCGCACGAATATGAACGAAGCGAGCAGAGCAAACGCGATATAGAGACTGAGACGATATGATGCTTTGTATTTTCAAAGCTATCGCGAACCATTCTCTATAGATCTCCACTCTTTTCTTTACAAACGTTCTCCTACTTTTTCAAGGAACTGGCGTTGTTTGTCACGCATAAAATCATTTTCACCTAGTTTTCTATTTAAAGATAATGAATATTTTTCTATTTTTGTACCTGATATAAACTAAGAAAGAGAAACAGATGTTTTTCTAGTATATTTAAGTATCAATGCGACTCATTTACTTTGTTATCGTTCTTAAATTAATTATATCTTGCATTTTTGTAAATTACACCTATTCTATATCTTTAATTTTAGATTAAGAAATATGTAACTAATATTGATTATGTTCATATATCAATAATGTTATTAATTTGTAATTATTGTAAAATATATTTACTCATTTTTTTGAAATATTTTGACGAATTATTTACACATGTTCACTTTTTTGTTTTTAATCAATAGTTTTTTAATTCTTTTCTTTAAAAAAAGGAATTTCAAATTAAAATTTTAAATTATTTTTTCGATAAAAAAATTATTTATATAATTAAAGATTATTATATATTATATTTTACAAATTTTACATATTCTGCTATTACTATGATTTGAAAATTGATAAATTATTACATACAAATCGAAGAAAACATTCTTTTATTAATTTATATATAATTTATATATAATATATATACATGTATATTTATATATTTGCAATGTATTATAAATATATCGTATTTTAAATTGTATTCTATAGCTTTGTTATCGTTGTAAATATTAAATATTTATATAAAATTTTATGATAAAGTATATTCATGATAAAATAATTATTTATATTAAAGTAAAATCTTTTCATTTTATATATATATATATATTTGTTATATTATTATTATATTCACTATAAATGTATAATATTATTATAAAATAAAAAATATAAATAATATAACAATTTTGAAACAATGTGTAACTGAATTCAATGATTTGATTACGTGTATTCAGATGTCAGATTACATGAGCATTTTAATAGCATTGCATAGTTTGATCAGGGTCAGATGAGAAATTATCTATGTATAAATATTCCTGTGCAGGAAGTTCAAATTGCTATTGAATAATGATCGATGATTACACAAACGTGACGCGCTTCTAATTGTTAATTAATAAATACATCTATTCTATTTATATAAATATAGAATGTTTCAACAGTTCTAATATATATTTTTATGAAAATCTTAAAATGATTACAAAATTATATTTATGTATCGTATATATAGACTTTTTCAACATTTTCATACAAATTTTATGAAAAATCTTAAAATAATTACAAAATTAATAAAATTCTGATTTCACTAGTGTCGTTAATATATATGTTGTATTTAATATAATAAAATATTTTTATTTATTTCATTATTTTTAAACATTTTATTTAATATTTTAGTTTTATACTTATATAATTTTTATTTCGTATTTTTATTAAAATTAAATATTTAATATTTAAATATATATAGAAAGAAATTTAATATTGTATATAAAAAATTCAAAAAGTAAATTATTTACTTCAACAAAATTAAAGATTTGAATTTTTATACACGATATAAAATTCTTTTATACATTAAATTTCAAAAAATGAAAATCGAATAATCAGAGTTATATATTTACGAAAATCCATTTTATCTTTTTATAGCATCAATTGGTCCAGTTTCACGGTCATATTTTCTCCTTCGTTTACATCGCTTTCACTTTTACGAGTCGAGTCTCGTATACGATTAATTGATGTGACTGTGTGTGTATATATCAAGCATCATGTTTGTCGGTGAAACTTTTTTACATATGTCATGTTAATGTTTATTCAAATTTTCTCTTTTTTCATTCGAGTTTTTATTATTGTATTGCTTTTTACTATCAGTGTTAAGAGAAAGTAGAATATTTCACTTAATTTTCGATTTATTAAATTCTATTTATTTTTATTAGTAATTTTATTTAAAATTCCATTGGTTATAAATTAAATAATAACAATTAAAAGAAAATGTGAAAATATTCATATATTTTATTCAAAAATGTAACATTTTATAATTTTTCCTAAGAAAAATATTTTCTTTTTATAATAAATATTTTTAAATATTTCATATAAATTTTAAATTTATTAATAATTTTCATTAATAAAAACATAATTTAATAACAGTAAAATTTTATCAAATAATTCACAATTGTTAACAATTTTCAAAAATTATCAAGTTTTAAAAAATTAAAATGTACACTTTTATATAATAAAAAAAAAAGTTCATTAATAAAATAAAATGATATTTTCATAGAATAATTATAAAATTTTATGAAAATCTTTCGCTCATTTGTTATTTTTTTTGATAAAAAAAATATAACAAAATTATTTAATAAATTATATATTAAATATAAAGCTTAAATAAAATAAATTTAATTTAATTTTCATTTAATACTAATATCTTATTCTTATCTTAATTTTATTATTAATAAGTAATTCATATTTATCATCAATCATCTTTATTGTTTTAGGAAAACAAGTATTTAAAAGAAGTATTTACAGACCGTACAAGGACCAGTATTCTTTTCCTTCGATGTATTACAAAGAACAAAGAATTATCAGGAAATAGATAAAATCAGAAATATAATCTCACAATTACCTTTTGTTAAAATATAATAGTATCGTATACATTTTCCATTTTAATATTCACTTGATAAGTTTTATCTTTTCATTTTCAAATATTTTTTAATACTATTTTTAATTTATTTATTTTATGGAAACTTTTTAGAAAATTTTTTTCTTAATTTTTTTTTATGTTAATTTAAAACAATTTATAATAACAATAATAATAAATAGCTATATATAAAACATATAATATGTTTAATTAATGTTATATTATCAAAAAAAAAATAAACATTAATAAACTGTGAAACATGTAACATAAAATAAGATATATTATATGTATATATACAAAGAGAATATGACCAAAAAATAAAATGATAATTAGAAGAAAGTTTTAAAAAAATTTAGTATTATAATGATATTTGACAGAATTCCTGGAAAAGAGTATTATTATGAATTCATGTAAAAATAAATTATTTTTTAAAATATTTTTTAATATTTTTATATTCTGTTGATTTTGAAATCATTAACTATATGTTCGATTAAGATTTTATTTTTTCATTGTCTTTCCCTGATAAAAAGAAAAATTTAAATTATTTCTTTCTTTCTTTTGTATTTATTTTATATTAAATTGATTTAATATAATTGGTTTTTTGTTGAAAGCTTCTACATGAACGATTGCCATATAGTACTGCAAATGTTTTATATAACTATTTTCAGATATTTGAAATACTTCTTATAATTTAGATAAACCGTTTTTGTGTCTAAATTTAATTTTTGAAAAATATTTAGTATTTTTATTATATTATTACAAAGTGTTACTTATAAATCGATTCTAAATATAAAAATTAATATACAAAAATGTTAAATTATAAGCAATTTAAGTTTTAAATGAAAAAAGGTAAAGAGCGTGAATATTCTGTATAAGAATTTATTTATATATATATTTATGTATATATTATATAACATATACATTTTTATAGCATATTCTTTATATAACTTTTTACTATTCTGTTCTTTTATCTTGTATTTACTTTATCTTATATTTTTTATAACAAGATATATAATAAGATATAATAAGAAATAATTAAATAATATTTTTTTATAATTTTAAAATATTTGTAATTGTTGTAATTGTTGTAATATTTTATAAAGAAAAAATTTGCAAATCGTATCGAATATTATATGAACTTACAAAAATTGATAATTGATTTTTTTATAATAATATTAAGTAATTATATAATTGTCCACAAAGTGTAGCAAATAACTACTACAAAGTATCACAGATCACAATATTTTATTCTCTTACGAGCAATCTAAACATACATTAAACATTTGATGATTCTGTAATAATTATATTATATTTTAAATTCTATATTCTCTGAAGTGAATTTATCATCTTTTCTTATCTTCAGACTGAAAAATAATATATACTGCATAGTATACACTATATAATTTTTTTAATTTTTAAAAAATGCAAGAAATTTCTTCATAAATTCTTTCATTTGACAAGAAATATAGTAAAATACATAAAATTTTTTTTGTATATAATTATTACATATAATAAGATTTATTATAATAAAGATATATCTTTTAATCTTTTAAATGGAATTATATATTTTTATATAATATTTCATTATATATTTCCAGACATCACATATATTTCTTTAGTATTTTTATTTCATTTAATAATTCATTTTATTTATTATAATTTTTTAATGTATATTTCATCATATTGGGAAATAATTTTAAAAAAGCTATAACAATATTCTTAAAATGTATAATGATAAATTAATAATATTGAAATTATTGAATATGATGTTACAAATTGCAAAATGTTTATATGTTAATGTTGGAGATTAATATATCTGACAATATAAACAAAATATTATGAATATTATACAATATTTATAAAAAAATATATAATATATAAGTGTATAATATTTATAAAAAATTTTATAAATTTGATTGATTTTAAATCAGTAAACTTATAACATATCTGTATGTATATATTATTAATGCATTCGTGGAAGATTGATTTTAGAGATT